GTGGCTTAAAAAAAAAGGAATCCAAATTTTATTGTACGTAAAATTTTGAATTTTTTTCTTAAAAAATATTGTTTCTCATATGTACAATATATAATATATAAGTCTTTTATGGTTTTTTATATACATCTTAGTTTATTTTATAATAACTAAAATACATATATGTGTATATACATTTATGTCATTTTGTCACTTATTTATTGACCTGTCCATTATAAATAAAAAAAAATCTTTAGTTAAATAAATAAAAAACGATACAAATATTTTATTTTTTTGTAAAAGGCGTTTTTTTATTCTCTTGCAAACTGCATCGCGTCACGGCAAGGGACTATACCAGTACCAGACTGTACTATAGTAAGCGGACTAAGATACTACCAGCGCCCTCAGCGGATTTCGGACAATAACGGGGTCACATTAAACTATCGAGTGCCATAGGCCTGCTTACGCCTGTACGCTTACGCCCTCTGAGCGCCCTACAGCGCGTTAGCCTTGAAGCCAAACGCATTTCCTCATATCGCATGCTATTGCATACCTACCACATAGCTCCTACTCACTCTAATAAGTCTGTTCGAGTATTTGACGCGACAAACTTGAATAATATCGCGTTATAATAGATATACACCCAGTACTAAAAATCTGTAACATATGTAATATGAGAAGCATAGATTTTTAAAATACTGACAGTATTTCATCGAAACATGGTTGTAATAGCACTTGTTTTTATGTCCAATGCCTTTTTAGGTTAGAATATCTGTCAATACATAAGGTGCTTTCAAGCAAGAGACAGATGACACAGTGTAAGGCCGATATTTCATTTATACGTTTTTGTCGTACGACAAATGTGTGCAAGACAGAGGTCCTCGGATCTCTCTATCCTATAGCCAATCAAAACGCAGAAAAAGCTTGTCGTACGACAAAAACGCACAAATGAAATATCATCCTAATACAGTGAATGATATCCTAGTTGTTTGCTAATGTACGAAGACGACATGGGGTGCGTTCCGTTTCTCGCATGATGCGCATAATGCATCGTTTATCCTTGTTGCTCACCAAACAAGGACAATGGATGCATCATGCACATCATGCGCGATACGGAACGCACCTATGATCACTGTCACACTGTGTCGCTTTTTGAAAAGCAACAACAATGTGTCAATAGATACATGTATACATAGCACGTATATTTATAGCTGCTCCTTGATGAATACAAATAATATTACTGATGTATTCTTATGTATAACATTAGAATAATGCATCTTTATCGTAATTATGTGAATATACGCACATTAGACATAGACATTACACATGCTGAAATATTCATGCAGATATTCTGTATATCTATTTATACATAATATTAGAATTTTATGTGTATCGTGTAATGTGTGTGTATATATACATATAGTTTAATTTTATTATAACATAAAGAGACATTAGTATTGTAAATATGAAGTACAGTTACATTTTATATAATAATGTGTGCACATATACACACATAGATCAGTGTACACAAAATATTATTCTATTATTGCATATAGATGCATAAGTGATACATATGTAATTCTAGAATAATACTTTTTGTGTAAGCATTTATACATTATAATACACATAAAATGTAATTGTACATATTCACTAATATGTCTTCTTATACAGTTATATACAGTTATATGTTAGAATTAAACTGAATGTAACAAATAGAGATACAAATTTCTCATGCTCGGATATTCACGCAGATATATTTACACGAAATATTAGAATTTTCTGAGTATTATAATGTTTGTCTATGTATGTATGTACGCATGTATATACTTCTATATATATAAATTATGGCCCGTATTCAGAACACGCTTTTATCGATAAAAGCGCATATTTATCTCTGAAATTCTATAATATACGTGACGTAAAGTATAGTATGTTAGCGCGCTAACATCATTGTAAGCGCGTTCTGAATACGGGCCAATAAATATAAGTATATATACATACATACATACATACATACATACAGACACACAGCATTATAATACAGAGACATGTGAGTGAATATTAGAATGATATTATGTGCATTATTATGTACACACATTACAAAACATAAAATGTATTTCACATTCATATCCACTATGTCTGTTTAGATGTATTGAAAATATAAAATGCACATAAAATTCCAATACATCTAAACAGACATAGTGAATATGAATTAGAAATACATTTTATGTTTTGTAATGTGTGTACATAATAATGCACATAATATCATTCTAATATTCACTCACATGTCTCTATATTATAATGTGTGTCTGTATGTATGTATATACTTATATTTATTATTTATATATGTTGAAGTAAATCCATACATACATACATACAGACACATTATAATACTCATAAAATTCTAATATTTTGTGTTAATATACCTGCATGAATATCTCAACATGAGAAATTTGTATCTTTTTTTTGTTACACGTAACAAAAAGAGATGAAGTAGCTACACATATGTGGATATGAATTAGAAATATATTTTATGTTTTGTAATGCGTGTACATCATATTGCACATAAAATATAATTCTAATATTCACTAATATATCTATGTTATATCTGAATATATAAATATGAGTAACTTTTCTATCTCTTTTTATTATGGGCCTTCTACAATAAGCCATTAGTCATGAATCAGAAGTCAGAAGCTAAAAATTGACCAATTATAGTTGTCAATTTTTAGCATCTGACTTCTGATATATGACTAATGGCTTATTGTGGAAGGCCCATTAGACGTAAAAAAAGAGATGGAATACATACATATGTCTGTGTGATGTATCTATGAGTTGACAATACACGTTACATCCTAAATTAAAATGGCATTGGGAATAAAGGAAAAAGTGTTATTACATTATACGTGTATATATGTACTTCAAATACATGTTTGCATCCAAAGATACATTTATGTTACAGTCAGAGTGTGTCAGAGTGTTCACTTAGTAAAAATATACTTATTGTAACTTGCTATTAGTCAATGTATGCATTCACCAATAAGTGTATACATTTACTAAAACACTTTGAATATGATATACTTATATACATTTCATGGACGTACAGCGAAAATTATGCATATGGCTATTGACCATGTAATGTATGTTATATATGTATACCACATATATGTATATGTACAACATATATATTATATAGGGTATCCAAAAAGACCCCGGATTCGTAGGCTGAACATAAATATGTCTATAACTAATCGTAAAGAAATGTGAATTGTACTTGCATCGGCGTACATACATAGTACGCCAAAATATAGTGCGTTGACTATGACCTATGACTATGATACACGTTCTACGACTCAGTTACGGTCATCCTTATGCTGAGGGCCTTAAATAACGTTTTTAGATGAAATGTTTCATACCAAAGTTGTAAGGTTTTAAAGGAGCTATTTACTGATATTTAGTTTGACCTTGGATGGCGTCTCTAAGATCAGATCAAGGTCACATTAATTTTTTTTTTTCAATGACACGTGCTATTTTTATTCTACAATTTAGCAGCTGGTGTAGTTTTTCAAAACTATTTTTTTTTTAAGTTCTTATTGAAATGTGAGACTTGAAAGTTACACTATTTACCCTAGATGTCCGACTGGCGGGGGTATGTGAAGTTAGCACCCCAACTATAGTACTCAGGAGTTCTGAATAGAGTTTCCGTTTTTTTTGAC